GAATCGGAACGACGGAACGGATTTCTTACTAGAAATAAGTTCACTAGCATTCCGTTCCGTATGAAGTTTCTCTGCTGTATCGGAATCACCGGAACTATGGCCGGAACAGTACGGAATCAACGGAATGTTATGTCGGTTGCATGTGACATGCTAAATCCAGCTATTGAAATTAAAATAAAATGAGCAATAACGGAGGGCCGGTAATAATAATTTTATACAATATTTTACCTTGATAATAATGAAATAAGTTAATGTTATCAAGTCAACAATAAGGTTAGGTTAGGTTATGTAAGAGTAAATTGAGATAAGAATAAATTGACAATTTCATTCAATTATTTGGCATATTGATTATATACATAGTAGTTTTTGTTTTATTTACCAAAAACCCTGAAATTTTTGGACAAAAATTTGAAATTATACGTTTCATAATAAATGTGTTAATTTTTTTCAGGCAGTAAAATGTGGTTACTGTGGCTGGCTCATGTTCGGGTCTTGTACAGAGATTCAAGCCCATTAATGTTTTAAAAACTATGATGAAAATATTCATGTCCTCTCTATTGACAAGACAGGACGTGCTACAATAAGTATGTTTATTTGTGAGAACATTTTTTAAATGATTTATTTGCAAATATTGAACATATTCAGTAAGTATATTTACTTATGTATAAACAGGAATCAAAGATACAAATGAAAATATGCAGAGCGATGTTCCACCATCGGAGAGTAACGAATGTATTATGTCAGTTGACACCAAGGACGAGATGCTAATTGATGCTGAAGAGCGGAGACCAGCTCTTTGGAATTTTAAGTTGCCAGCACAGAAGCGTACCCCCGTTATAAAACGAGACTTGTGGGATGAAATACATAATAATCTTGGTAATATTAAATAATTTTATTTTGTTTTATGTATTCAAGAAATTGTCTATACAACCACATGTGGTAAATCCATATAGTTTTTTTTCAGTAGAAGTATAAACAAACTGTAATTGTAAATTCTATTTTCCATTATTGAATTATTAGGTTTTGAAAATGCAGCATGGATGAAATCTAGATGGACTTACCTTAGAGATTGTTATACAAAAGCAAAAAAAAAATGAAACGTTATATACCCAGCGGATCAGGTGCAGAAGCAGGACATACACAAAAAAGTTCGTTTCGCTTTTATGCAAGGATGCAATTTTTAGAAGAAGTAATGCCAGTAACCCCGTATGTATAATAATAATTATATTGTCATATATAAGTTTTAGAATACGAAATGTATATATTTTCATTAGTTGTCATTGTAAAATTTTAGTACCACGAGTTCTTTATCATGCAACGTAACTTCTGAAGAAAAAAATGAACTGAACGAAGTCAATTTAAGTATTCAAGAATCCAGTAGTATCATATATTCTCCAAGTTGCAGCACGGCAAGCATTCGTGAAAGATCAGATAGTTCGGACGATTGGAAATCATCATCAAGCGGAACAAAGAGTAGGTTAATTTGGAATAATTAATAATCCTCTTAGATTTTCATATTGAATTCATATATTTATGTAGTCTTTTTTTCAAAACTTTTCATAAATTGTCATAAGCTTTTATTACACATTTGTACGTGTTTACACATTTATTTAGCGGTGATACTAAAAAATTTCAAAAATTCTCGGCAGATATTCAATTTAAAAATAATTTCGTAGCCTCAAAAACTTTTTTTAAATTTTATCTTAAAGAGATAAAGATATTTCATTCAAATACCTATACACTTGGCAAATAACGTTCTAAATAAGACATCGAAGATGTATTATTTTATTTATTACTATGTATAAAAATATAGGAAAATTTATTACTGAAATTTTTTGTATTACAGGAAAAGTCTGATTCTCATGTACAGTCTTTGCATGCATCTATATTGGAACAATTACTTGAACAAAATGAGCTAAAGAAAGATGCAGTAGACTGTTTTTTAGAACAAATTGGTTTTATCCTGCGAAAATTAAGTTACCTTCGAAGAAGACAGATACAATTAGACATACTGCAGATACTTTATAAAGCAGAAGATGAAGAGGCAAAAGAACTTACATGAAATTAACTTTTTTTAATATTATCTTTATGTTGTCTTTTTATATATATATCCCAATATCGCATTTTCTTATAATATAAGTGTATTAGATAATGAAAGAAATATATTTTGATTTATAAAAATTTATTTATGTACAAGTTATTAATTACAAATTATTAATATAAAGTTATTTATTTTTGTATTTATTTCTATTTTAAATGTATTTCACGTAAAAGAGGCAATTAATGCGAGTCGATTTAACATAATTTTTTAAAGAGTCAATATCTAATATAAATTTAATACTCGTTGTTTAAAGCTTCTTTCCATTGCCAAGATAATGGATTTGATGTTTCGAAATATGTAGCAAATGCGTCTCTGATTTTTATACCGTCAACATTTCTACGTCTATTCTGATTACACTCATCTTGATATCCATAGAGATAGAGATTATATTTCGGTCGTTGGCAGTTAAAACAGAGTACTGTCTTTCATTCGGTTGCAACTGAAGTTCGTGTTTCATGATAAAATTATGTACAGCCGTTGCAGCTTGTACGGCAATTTTAACTGTTAAAATATTAGCGATAATTGGCCGGCGAAAAATTCGCCATCTTGCCGCAAGAATCCCAAATGCACATTCTACACTTCTCCTTGCTCGACTTAATCGATAATTAAAGATTTTCTGCGTTATACTTAAGTTTCCACTTCGAGGATACGGTCTCATCATGTAGGATGACAGTGGAAATGCTTCATCTCCTACTAGAACATATGGAAATTTGATCCCGCTATTATCCAAATGTCTAGCCGAAGGCAGTTGAAGTGAATTTGTGTCCAATAGATGAGCAAGGTTACTGCTAGCAAACACACCAGCATCGCTACGTCTTCCTTCTGCTCCGATGTCTACAATGCTAAAGCAACAATTTGCATCACTCACGGCAAGCAGATTTATACTATGATTGCCTTTATAATTGTAGAATGACGAGCCACTATTCAGTGGTGCCTACAATTAACAATAATACAATAACAGATTTATTTTAAAATAGTTCAAAATATGTTCAAAAAATAGTTCTATCAGATACATGCCTGAATCATAATGTGCTTTCCATCGACAGCTCCAATGTAGTTGGGAAATTGACAAATTCTCTCAAAATCGTCAGCAACTTTTTGTCAATTTTCATCAGTGGGTTGTAGAAAAACTCTATCTTTTAATACTTCCCACAATGCAGTGCAAGTCTCCTTTATGATTTTAGAAGCTGTATTTGCTCCAATACGAAATGCATATGAAAGAGATGCCATACTATCACCAGATGCCAACCAGCGTAAAGCCAGTTGCAATGTTGTACGAGATGAAATTGGAACTCGGCATAATTCTTGCTTCTCAATAGTGGTCCAACTAATGACAGCAGTTCTTCAAATAATTCCGGAGAAATTCTAAAGTAATTGAAGAACTTCTCACGATCGGTCGTTTGCATTTCAACGACTAAATTGTCACTTGCGCCTTGAAGATGTCTCATTCTTTGTGTAAACATTAGCCGTACCCAAAATTTTCGTTTTCTTGTATATTTTTTATTTTGTAATAAAATATTATAAGCGAAATATAATTTTCGTACTCTCTTAAATATTGGAATAGCACGCCAACTTGGCATATTTCTTGCATTTCGCAATAATTTTAACAT